GGAAACACTAAAATTAATAATTCAACACATTACTGCATCTCCTGTGCAAATATAGCAGCCACACAGAGAGCATCTCCAGTTTCTACCACAGACATCAAATATAATAACATAAACTACATTTTTCTTAATAAATACACTGTGTCATGTGAGTTTCTTGTGGCATATAATACAAGTAAATACAATTATAAAGCATAAAAATTCTTGCACACAGTGAAATGTATCTTAATTGTTTAGTCAGGCTGTGAAACTACACAAACAAATATTTTTGGGGAACATATTACTGTTTTTGTCACAACTCCAGCCGCTCCTTCAAATATTCAACAAATCTCTGGGTGTCTGAGATGCGCATGCGGTTCAGTTTGAGTTCTTTGTCTTGATTCTGTAAAAACCCATAAAGAGAAACAGCAAATTAGAACAACACTGTGAGACAAAGAGAAGAAGCTCCTTGTCCATATTTACACTAATGTGATTGTTTAAGTGTAGTGTCAGTTCTCTACCGCTTTAATGAGGCTCACTTTCCAGCCACTGGACAGTCTCTCGGTCACTGATCTTCAGCAGGTGGATATCGTGGCCGGTGGCCAGTGCATCCATCGCCGTGTATTTCTCTGTAAACAGCCACACATAGAAAACAGAGGAGTGCAAGAATGAAGCACTGATGCTGTTAATTCAACACGTTTTAACCTCGTCTGACCTGCACTAGACCGTACACAACCTTTTTTTCTTTTGAAGGGAGATTAATTGCTTTATTTTTTTCACTTTTTAAAAACTCGTGGCCGTAGCCTTCAGTCGTGTTCGATAATCTCTTGAACTGAAAGTTGCAGAATTGAGAAAGAAGTCCTTGCAGATAGTTTTGTGCTTGTATATTGTCTGGTGCTTCTCTTACATATTGTCCTAATGCATTCATGTCTCAGACAAATCCTGTTTATTGTCTTGTTGCTGACAAGTTTTTTCAGGAATAAATATGTCTTCCTTTGGCTTACATTCTAAGGCCATGACAGTCCATATAATTGTACAGTAACAATATTATAATTTTGCACAGTTAAGTTGGTCTAAAAGGTGAAACACTGACCTCTACAGCCTCCCTTGGCAGGTCCTCCTCCAGGTTTGGCCACTTTCTCCAGAGTTGCAACAGCAATTTTTTTCACCTTCTGATAATAATTATCCTCCAGATCCCGAAGCTGAGCAAATGTATGATTCTGTCTGAAGAGGCCATGTAGGCAAGATGAGCACACAGCTGCCCTGGGATTTAAATGTGGCCTCATTCAAATTAAGCAACAAAGGGAAGAAGTTCAAAAATGGTATAATCTTATTCACAAGTAAAGGCAGTTTTGGTGTGATACTCTGGTTGGTCTAACATTGCATCAAGATACATCAACAACATGTTAACTATAAAAATATAGCACAGAGTTCAGCTAAAACAATAATGAATCAGCGTTACTGCAAATGCCTGCTCTGCTGACTCAGCGTGTAGAAAAAGGATATATGTCGAGCGCAGTTTTGCTGAAGTTGTCAACCGTGTCTGAGATGTTCTGCTCCAACTTTCTGATGTTGTCCTGAAACAAACAGGAAGCATCACTGTGAGTAAGCATAAAGCTAAAGCGCAGCGTCACAGCTTTTGACATGTGAAGGAAATTCAATCTTCAACAGTCTTGAATAATCTTTATACAGTAGTATAAGAAATGGCTTAAATTCAACTACAGACACATTTTTTTAAGGATAAACTTTGATGTTTTTTGTGTAGATCAGATGCTTCACAAGGTGCACTCACACAAACACATGCAACTCTTACCTCCAGCTGGCTGATGGCCTGAAACTCCAGTGTCATGAGGCTTTTGCAGAGCTGGTCGATTTCATTGCTTTGGTTGGTCTTGACCTTAAACGCGTCCGGAATGGATAAATGCCGAAACTCTGCTCCACTCTACAAAGGCGAACACACAAGAGATAATCTAATGCTGATTACTGACACCACATCAACTATATCTGTGTACAACATGGTCCCAGCTTGGTGTTGTTCATCAAACTTTTCCAAAATCTGTGATGCTTTCAGCTGGGAATCTTTATAAACCTTATCCTGGGCACTGAGGAAAGAATTCACCTCTGCCTCCCTTCGTTTGTGCTCTGACAGCTCCACCATTTGGTGCTTGAACGCAAGTGCAAGGTCAAGGAATTCAAGGAACGATTTTCTTGTGCATTTCCAGTAACACACCTGCACGGATTAGAAAACCAGGACAACTAAGGATATGTTTAAAGCAGTGAAGCTATTCCTGGAACGCAGCACAGTGTTTCTGCCTCTGGATCATCTTGAAACATGATCATAAACAGGTAAGGCCCATTAAGGGACTCCACAAAGGCATCCTGTAAGAAAGAAAAAGTGACACACAGCATGTTTACACCTCAACTAATGCATCAACAAACATGAGCTTTGTGTTACTCTGTGCAGTTTAAGTTCAGCCTCCTGGCGTCTCTGAGCCTCTTCATCTTCTTGTGTCAACAGCTGTAAAAGTTTCATATGCTCAATAACATCTTGGTATTTGATAGATGCTTCATCTCTCTGCACACACACACAGACATTTGATTATACAGTATTAACAAGACAAACTATAAATTCCCATGAAAACTTTAAGAACAGGGGCTTATCATGCTTTTAAAGATGATAGATCAAAAAAGCTTTAAAAGAAAGAGCTCTAAACTTATGATATGACTACTGTGGTTTGATACTCAGGTTTCTGTCAAAACCTTTACTGTTGTTTTATCAGTGACTTTGTAGTCGAGGTACCTCAGGTTTGGCATATGGGCGGCAATGAGAACTCTGTAGTTCTCTTGTTTAGGGACAGAGTTTCCAAATA